CATTATGTAGTCGACCAGCTGTAGCGTGAACAGGCCACCATCCAGCCTTCGCAGGTACAGCTCATCTTCGTCCAGATTCTCTGCCTAAGCAATGAGAAAGAGGAAGGATGATGACCAGAAGATTTTTGACAACAGAAGCAGAAATAAAATCAATATTGATGGAATCTTACGGGAAATACAGGATTCACTGTAATATTACAACCAGGTGTGGAGATCAAAGGCTGCATCCTAGTAAGTGAACAGAAAGTGCTCCAACTCCTACTGGAAAATGGTGTATGCTACAGTTGATGTAAATAGCCTGGTTACCTTGGCCTGTTCTTCAAGGTTGGTGGCTAGGACCTTCTCCAGGTATTTGAAGTGTAACTCCAGCAGCCTGTCCACCTTTTCATGGTCATTCTCTGTAAATTTGTTGATGAGGCGTGTTCTCTGGTTGGGCCGGCAGTTGCGGAGCAGAGATGTGATGATTGAGATGACATGCTCCTCATGCTGTTCATGGAAGAAAGTTATTGTTAGGTTGAAGGACCTTTTGGAGAACACCTGAAGGAGCTTTTAAGCTATGGCTTCAATTTTTGTATAGTGTAATGTGTTGACAGCTGCATAATTTGTTCATGGATATATAGAAGAAACTATATATACACACACACACACACACACACACACACACACACACACACTGCCTCTCTTGTTTTCTGTCACATCATTTTTTTTGTCATTTATTGTACACAACCAGAATTATCTGCTATGTAGTTTCTGGGTTAAAAGAAAGAATGAAGAAAAGTTACTGTTATTGCTAGACAAGTAGCCAACACGCCTTCCCCAAACACACCTGGTCCTTAGTGAGGCCCTTCTTGCCATGCTTGCCCGGAGTCTTCATGAAGAGAGGGAAGATTGTCCGTAGACCTAGGATCTCCACAAATTTGTTACAGTTGTCGGCACCTTCCTGACCTGTAAGCGCGTGGTCAAGCACTCTCAAGGCTCCGTTGCGGGAGAGCTTCTTCTCTCTGATGGCAGAAATATTAGCAATATTGGTCATATTAATGATAATAAGTCATATTAATAATAATAATAATAAGAGCATCATAAACACTGTTACTAATCACTTTTGGCTGCAATAAAACTAAAGCAACATTCAGATCTTAAAGGTATGATTCAGAGAAACCTAGAGGCAGGGATGCTGCTATTGCAATACAACGTAAAGATTTTTTTTTTTTTTTTTTTTTTTTTTTTTTTTTTTTTTTTTTTTTTTTTTAAGAAATTGACTCCTTAGGCTATGAGTACAAAACCACTCAAACTTACCTCAGCATGAGGTTCATAAGCTGTAGACCCTCCCCCCTCAAGAAGAGGTCTCTGTTGGGTGTGAACATGAGGCAGGAGCAGAGGGTGTCAAACAGGTTCTCCATCATCTCTTGCTCCTCATTGGTGGATGGGTCGTGTCGCTTGTAAACCTGCAGACAGAGGGAAGAATGTTGCTTAAAAGTGGTGCACTCTGTGGATCTTTTGGGTCATAAGTGTGCAGTTAAAGAGTTTTTTTAGAATCTTTTTTTAGACAACAATTATTATGTAATGTTTTCTTACAAGATAAATGAATGTGTTAAATGAAATTTAGACTAAATGCAATTAATTACTAGTCTTGATTCTGGAGCCATATATCAAGATAACATTCTTGAAATAATAATAATAATAATAATGATAATAATAATGATAATAATAATAATAACAATAATAATAAAAATCATCAAAATCTCATGAGGAGGAAAATCCCCATGGTGTCACTAGAAAAGCTGCCTCGTAACACTTACGGCAAGCTGCTGAAGGAGCACATCAATCCCGTCCATTTCGCCAAGAAGACGCCTGTTCTCTTCGTGGTTCTGCATACAAATGGCCAGGATCTCTGAGCTGTAAAGCTTGTTGGCATCAAACGGCAGTTTTGCCCTCAGCCGCTTCAGGAGCCATGCCAGCAAACCCCCAGGACCAGCATCTCGACACACCTGCACGCGCACCTCTGCTAGGTTCTCAATTATCCCTGTTTTAGGGAAGAAGGGATAGATGTCAAACAAGGCCAGCAGATGCACAGGTTGACCGAAGCCAACTCATTGAAGGGAGCCAGAGAAATACAACAGACAAAGAAGTGTACAGAATACAATAGAAAAAGTAATTGTAAATATGTAAAGTTAGTAAAAGCACAATTACATATGCATATGTATATGTGTATAGATATAGACACACACACACACACACACACAAACATATACATACATACATACACATATAGATACATACATACATATTTATATCTATATCTCTCTATCTCTCTCTCTCTCTCTCTCTCTCTCTCTCTCTCTCTCTCTCTCTCTCTCTCTCTCTCTCTCTATATATATATATATATATATATATATATATATATACATATGCAAACATGTGTGGAAAAAAATAACCCAAACAATAGCAGCCACTCACCCAGACTATTGTGAACTCCATCTGCTTCTGCCTTGTTGGACTCATCCATCCGCTGCAAGTTGTGGACAAGAGTGGTGACCACCTGGCCCTCCAGCAGAGCATCAATCAGGGCCTCAGCACCCTCCTCCTCCTGTATGTCCTCCAGCTCGGTCATTTCCTGCCAACAGTAAGCCCACAGTTACAATGTATTTTGGATTGTTGTGTGTGTGGTGAAGTGAATGCGTGGGAGTATGTGCATTCAAGTAAACATGTACAAATTGTCTCACAGCTGACTTCTATACATAAAGTTTCCGTGTATGAGACATGATACCAAATCCAAACATCAAGAAAGCATTCCATTTTACATGTCATGAGGCCTGTAAAGCAAAGTGGAGGTGCCATGCTCCCCATATCCTGCAGTAAACTAGTTTTTCTAAACCTTAACACCTTCTTGTCTTCAAATATAGAGAAAGAAATTTCCTGGTTGGGAAAGACATCCTACAACCTAAGGGAGGAGATCTTCAGATTCTAGTTTTGAGAAGCTATATTTTCTTAAATACAACAAAATCTATTAAATGCATACATATGTGTGTGTGTGTGGGTGCATGCATGTGAATGTGTGTATAAATACATAAAATTATATATACACTGTTTACACATATATCATAATTCCCCTATGAAATTGAATCACTGCACTCTTCACATCGCAAAGCACACAATGCAACTCCACCCTATGCCCCCAAAAGAAAAAATAAACAGATGAAAACAATGCCTTCTTCCCCTGACCACCCGACCAGTGAACCCCCACACACCTGCAGGAGGTCAACTGTGGCGATGGCAATGTCGGTGTTGTCGTGGCTGAGGAGGGAGAGCAGGCTTTTGACAGTGCCCAGCTCCACCAGCACAGGGTACAGCTCAGGCACAGTGGCCACCACGTGCAGCTCCTCAACCGCATCATTCAGCTCTATCTCCGATTCCATGAATCTGGTGATGTGGGAAGTCAGGAATTAAAATAGGCACTGGCAAATTCCAATGAGGTGAAACAAGTTAAATTGATTAAATTTGGGAAGTCAGATTTGTTTATTTTGTGGATTTGATCACATTAGTGAAGTTTAACTTTTTATATCTGGAAAGTAAAGTGAGAGATTTGTTAAATCTGTTGAATAAAGGAAGTTTATTTGGTTAGATCAGGGAAGTCAGATTCAATGAATAAAGAAATACATATTACATAAATATAAAAAATGACATAAATATCAAAATGACAAATATAGATCTTGGAAAATGTCAAAAAACAAAAACAAAAAAGAGATAATAACATCAGAAAGGAAAGGAGTCTTGAAGCCACATGTGAGTATTTGCGTGGGCTGGGCCTAAAAGCAACACCCAGGAGAAACGACTAGTCCTAATACCTGGATTTTGGACCATGTATGGGCAGCAAGGAACCCATATTCAGAGGGCTAGTTGGTACCAGGGAGCTGATATACTCCCAACAATGGTTTATGTAAGATAGGTGAGTTATAGCTGTTTTGACCCATGAAAATTTAGTAACAAATGTGGAGAGACTTTAATTAGTTTGTCTTTATATAAACCATCAAATACTTTGCTATGAAAGAGGGCCGTACTGAGGCCAATACTGCATAACACTAGTACTAATAAAGTTAACAAACATTAAACAAAAGCCAACCAAAAAGCAACACATAATCTCCTTACTTGCGAGGATCATCAGGAAACTTGATTCGCAATTCCTGATTTTTCAGTACACGTTTCTCAAAGCTCAAAATCATTTTCTTGAGCAATGACTCATTCAGGGGACCATCTGTCTGTAAAGCAAGGAGCATAAACTTTTAATAAATATGACATGATAAGAATGGTGGCATTGTTGATGACAATAATAATAATAATAGGATCACACCATCAATGCCAAATACATGTACTATCCACTGTAGTTCAGTTTTGTTAATTTTGTTTATATATAGATGAATCCAGAAGATTTAGTCACCAAGGAGTCAATCTTTCTTCTAAAGTTATTAACCAATGGATATGGCTGACATGACTGTCTTGTTATGAAGAAATTTGGCCGAGGGCTGGGTGACAGGATTATGTTAACCCCTTAACGCCGGGCAGAAAACAAACTGCTCGAAAGCTGGCGTGCGGCTGTACGCTGCGGTGGTGCGCCAAAACACGGCGAGCCAGTGATTCGGGCTGGTGTCCCCTACCCACATGCTCAAAGTCGGCGCGCCACCTTTGTTTGCTAGAGTGTAGAGTTTATTATTTGTTTTGTACACCCGGCGCCATTGGGTTAACATGAAAAAATTCGCCTGAGGGCCAGGGTGACGAGAATATGCCACCATGAAGAATTTGGCAGAAGGGCTAGGTGGAAGGAGACTCACCATGAGTGCTCTAAGCTCTTAGAGGAAGATTAGACTAAGCGAGCATTTAGGAAGGGGCTCTTGGATTATTTCTACAAGCATACAAGGGCAGAATGGACCATCCATGAACCAAGCCTAGAAGTGGGTAAACAGGTGAGATCAAGTAAGACTAGTTAATGACTCCTTGGTGACTAAACTTTTGAGTAGCCATCTACATGTATGCTAAATAAATAAACTAAAATCACAGTGGACATGGTATGTAGCCTATGTACATCACATGACTAGGTCAATGAGTTGTTGTTGTGTTCTAGTTGATAATGATTAACAACATTAACGAAAAAACAACAACAGCAACAACAACAAAAAAATCAATGTCAAATACTAATAATAAACATTAACAAAAACAAAGGTAAACAATAATAATAAATAACAATATCAAATATAACTAAAAACAAAAGGAAATAAGAACAACAACAACAATAGAGGTAATGGTGATGATGATAAGAATTTTAAATTCTATTAATAAAATGAATCCACAAATTGTAGCCCGTCAATTACTAAAAATACCAGATCCTAGCAATGAGAAATCATACAAATAAAAAGGAACAACAGTCAATCTATCAATCATGATATCAATATGCCATTTGCAGATAAGCAAGAAATCAACTGATTATTCTGTTCATCAATCAAATGACAAAAACTCTTCACATCCATCAATCAAGTATCCAGGCAAGTTATTCACAAAATCAATCAGTCAATCAATCAGTCAGTCACACCATGAATCAGTCAATTAATCTGTCCTCCATTACTCCGAGATGAAGGACTCCAGCCCTGGCATCAAGACTCACCAGCTCAGAGTTTTCCTGTTCTTCGTACTCCATCAATTTCTCCTCCACAATCTGCCGCGTCCGAGCTGAGGCCACAACCCCTAAGCTGCCCAGGTGGGAGGAGGGGGGCTGGGGCCCTAGACCCCTTGACTCCAGTCGACCTCGTTTCTTGCCCGGCCGGTCCTTCTCGTCGTCTTCTTCTTCTGCTGCACGCTTTACGGCCATCTCAGGCTGTGAGGAAGAAATATTGTTACAACTTTCAGAATTGTTGATTATACTGTTTCCTTGTCTTTATGCCTATCTATCTAAGTTTTAATCTGTCTATCATATTTAGTCAGCTCTCTTCCCTTAGAGCATAAAAAGAACAAAAGAAAAATCATTATCATCATTTTGGCACCAAGTAGTCCCAGTAATGATCTATCCTATTAATGAATATGGGAAGCAAGGAGTATTGTGAGTGCCAGATGCCAACTATACCAAAAAAAATTTAATAGCTACATCATGAATACCAACAATAACTACTGGTAGTCATGGACTGTGTATATGTACTGTCCATATATAGTAGTTTTTGTCAATGCATGTGCTCAATGACTCAATGAGTTAAGGTGCCCAAATACTGACTTAGTTCTTGGGAGTTCAAGCCTCTCTGATGCTATGAGTGTTTTCATCCTTGGCAATTCTTTACAGTAAGGAACTTTTTTTCCTCTACAAGAATATCATCTTGTTTGCCCTGCTTAGTACATCTATAACATAGAGATTAACCTAAACCTTAACTATTCCTAACACACAGGAGGAGTCGGTGACCTGCAGAACATGTAGGTCTAGGCTTTATATCATTAGACATGTGGTCACCATGCTTCATTCAGTGCTGACAAAGTACAGTACTGATATTAGCCCCAACTGCTGTAATATATATCAGGGAAATCCTAGGATAAAAGTGTCGTGGAGGTGGTCAACCAATGACTACTTCCACGACATTGGCAACGCTTACTGATGTTTACTGAAATCTTTACACCTACAACTTGGACAGAGGCAAACCTCCCCCATATATATCTTCCCAAAGCAAAATATAGCTTGGACTGGGTACGAATCGCCGCTGATAACTACAAGCTCTATCTTGCCTTTCCCCCTGAGAGCTACAGACGAAGAGGCCGCAGCACTCCCTGAGGCCACACCATCCCAGCACACCCTATACCGTCGCTATAAGACACGCTAAGAATCTTCCATTTCAAACCACAAGCAACGCATCGGAATAGAAACCCTTCCTCTCAAAGACGCGACGATTTAAGATTCACAACACACCACACACACTCGAAAGCCTTCAGAGTCATATAATCATCTAAAGAAGTTGACAAGCTCCCAGCCGAAGAGGTATTACCATTCATCAAGAAAGAAATGAGTTAAAACCAAGAAGAGGGAATCAGCCGCTCGGTCACCTCCATCCTGCCGACTCACTTAAAACGTTAAAATTCCTCTAGAATTACGATATCTACAGCCATACCTTGAAATTTAAAATCTCCCCGACATCCATGCTTGGTGTGATCCGCCCCCAAAGTGTCTGTCCAATAAAAACCTCCTTAGAAACAGAAAAAAAATTCAGCTCAAAGCGACGACGAGGCGATCGTGTTTACAAATTTGCGTCGCTTTGGCTACTAAAACCAACCTTCAAAGAAAACGGGTTAGGGGGGACTATAGTGTTCCTAAATAATTTTCTTATTATTTTCTTCATCGTTTTCTTTTTACTTTCTTAATCGTTTTCTTATTATTTTCTTAATCGTTTTCTTCTTATTTTCTTCATCCTTTTCTTCTTATATTCTTATTTTCGTCTTCGTTTTCTTTTTTATTTTCATATTTTCCTCTTCGTTTTC